TGGTAAAGGCCTATTCAAGGTTGCTTTGTTTTGCCATTGGGCAATAAAATGGCTGCCTGAGGAAAACCATCCAGCAGGACTCGAGATGTGGTGTCTATCTTTCCATGTCTGGGAAGTGGGACAGACTAATGAGAAAGGAAACTGATGCCCTGCACACTTGCAGTGTCATGACTGGCCCGGAGGGGATACGTGGCAATCGCAAACTGCATTTCAGTTGCCTTTGGAGAGTAATATGGGCTAATTTATCTCTCTATCTAAGATACTGACATGGCCCTGATTACTATAGTATCTCAGCACCTCATAATCTTTAATGTGTTTATGCTCACAACACATCTGTGAGATGGGGAAGTGCTATTGTTCCCTTTTTACAGATGGGGTGTTGAGGGACAGAGGCACTAAAGGGGGAATTTAAAAGGTATTTCGGTGCTTAACTGAGTTGCCCAAGGTTATACAAGAAGTCTGTGGAAGAGTAGGGAATTTAACCTTGATCTCCTGACTGCTCAGGTAGCGTTCTAACCACTCAACATATATTTAAGAATATACAGTAGTGACTTTGTATTTAGGTCATATTCATTTATTCACTTAAGACAGGGATTACTTCCCATGTAAAGGATAGCTCTGTGGTTAGGGAAGTAGCATAAGACTTCGGAGACCAAGGCTCAAATCCCTACTCTGCCACCGACTTCCTGCTTGAGCTCTGTGCCTCAGTTTCCCAATCTGTACAATGGAGAGAATAGCACTCGCCTACCTCACGGGGGGTTGTAAAGAGAAACACATTAAATATCAGGGAGGGCTTTGAGCTCCACTAGTAAAAAAAAAAGCACGATATTAGAGTTTGATAGTATTAAACATGTACCACAGCACACACTTAACTGAATAGACACTAACATTGAGGCTGCAATTAGGGGCCAGCCTACAAGAGAAAATTAAGTTACGTCGACGTACAGCCACTGCAGTAATTAAATCAGTTTTGCATGTCTCCGTTAGCTCCTTCTGTCGGCAGTGTGTGTCCACACCAAGACACACCAAATTAACTGTCAGGACAGGCATCGTGGGGCACTGACAGTCGGAGCCCTGCTGCCTGTAGCTGACAGCCAGAGCCTTGCCAGGTGTTACCTGGAGCCCCGCCACCTGACTCTGGCCAGGCTCCAGCTGTCAGCTGCCAAAGTCTAACAGCCAGAACATTCTGCTGTAAGAAATGCAGCGTCTACCCTGACACTGTTGACGTAAGAACGTCATGCCAGTCATAGAGGTGGAGTTAAGTCAGTCTAGTGGGCGACTTACATTGGCGGGAGTAACACTGTGGTGTATTTTCCACTGAATGCATCCGATGAAGTGAGCTGTAGCTCACGAATGCTGATGCTCAAATAAATTTGTTAGTCTCTAAGGTGCCACAAGTCCTCCTTTTCTTATTGTAGTGTAGATGTTTACAGAGTTAGGTCAACGTAAGGTGCCTTACGTGGCCCTAACTCCATAGTGTAGACCAGGCCTAAGGTTTTGCATTATAATGCACTCTGTGTCATGTACTTCCTCATCTGGAGACAGAAGGAGGTTTTTTGTGATGATACAGAATCTTGTCACTGTCATGGGCAACATATAGTATGGGTCTTGATGTATGGGCTCCTATAATTTATTTCCTTGCTTTTTATGGTTTGAGTTAGGGACATAGGAATATAGGACTGGAAGAAACCTTCTGGGCCATCAAGTCCAAGACCTGCTACCACAGGCAATCCTGTCATACCATCCCATGGGTTGGCGGGGGAGGGTGTTTCCTCACACTTTCCCAACTTTATTCCCTTTTAAACCAAGTTTTGGTTTATACAATCTACAGCTATAATCTGGTAAAGAGCATGAATTCACAGGGAGCTTCAGCCCATTCAGCCAAGACAATGACAACGTTGACAATTTGTTTTTGTTCCAGTTCTTTGGTACAGGTGTACTGAGTGACCATGTGGCTTTTTAATACATAGTACATAGGTTGTGCATGGGACTAGGTATTGGCCAACTTCGTGGAATTTGAAGGTTTGTGAACCTCAAACTATTTTTGGGGTTTCCAAAAGTGATTTGACTTTTAAGTGGGTTTAAATTAAAGAAAAGAGAGTCCATTAATGTCAATATCAACATTCCATTCTTCTGGAAGTGATCTATTGGTTAACCAGCCTTGCGCACGCTCATCCAGTTTTATTACTGTATTCATGTGTTCTCAGATATGGACTGTTTATAGAATATGAATGACCAGGAAGTACTGAGAGTCCATTCTTGGATCAGAACTTCATTCTTCACGTGCTTTCCTTGAACACACTCTTACTGTGGATCCTTACCAGAAAATTCAAAGGAGCAAAATCAAATCTCATCCATATTTAAGGCTCAAACCATATGCCAAATGAATTTCAGAGGGTAGTCAATCTGTTTCATATTGTGCCCTTCCAAATGTCCTTTCTTCCATTTCTGTCTCTTTACTCTTAATCGTTGTGTCCTTGATGGATGTATTGGACCAAATCTGAAGTCACATCATGTTTTTGTGGTTGAATTTGCAATTTACTGTGTTTTGGGGGGTGGTTTTTTGTTTTGAGGTTGTTGTTTTTAACCCATCGAGACATGCAATTAATTTTCTCCTAATCTCTGTATTTCTCCCTTTGACCCGTGTTGAAATTCTGAATGCCATTTATTAGAAATTCTGAAATTATGGGGATATAGCCAAAATAAGCATATGCTAATTTATTGTCAGACAACTTCTATTAGCAATAAGTATTTAACTCTGGTAAAATGTGTCTCGGGAACTGATACACCTTGGAGGTGGGAGCAGTATAAGAACCTAAATACAATAGAAGATCTTAGATTCTGTTTGAGTTTAAGACTTCCTTTACACACCATATTATCTAAAGCAGATTGGAACCCCAGCCTGTTCCTTCATTATGAAGTCTACTGAGAAGATATCCCACGTAAAATGCCCATTCATTGATACACAATATGAGAATGAGATATTACTGGTCTACCTTGTAATTACTGGTCTACCTTGTAATTGAAATGTTGCTGATTAAAATCTAAGTGACAAAACACGGATTGTCTGTGTAGTTTATTGAAGGCACAATGGGAAATGGAAAACTTTTGACAATCAGCAACAGCTAAGGTAGCACCGCTAAAACTTTATACAAATACAACCAGGCATCATACTCAGAGATACTAGGCATCAAGAGCTCCCAGAGACTTCATTTGAAGGTGCTGGGTAGACCTTGGGGAGAAAAACTGTCAAAGAGAAAATTGGAAGAAAAATGCATTTTTCAGGACAGCAAAACTATACATGAATTTGGGTTGAATTTGGCAAATAGTCTCAGCTGGAAAAAAAAACGTTCAAGTTAAAATTTCTGAAAGAGTGCAATAATTCAGTTAGAAAAAATTGAAACGAACCGATTGGAAAGCGTCATTTCAATTCCACATTCCGTTTAGAGAATGTCATTTCGATTCAACGTTTTGCCTAGAACACATAATTTCGACTGGACGTTCCAAACATTTAGTTTTGACCTGAACAAAATGCTTTCAGGTTTTTCAGTTCGGTGAGAAAAACCAAACCAAAACAAATTTGGTCTCAGTTCAAAATGAAATAATTGGTTTCTGATTATTCACTTCAGCAACCAAACTGAAAAATCAATTTTTCAACCCAGTTCGAGTGCAGAAGGCTTCTGAAAATCAGGCCAGGGAAAGCACAGTCCCGTGCACAATCAAATAAGGATTACATGTCTTTAGTGACAAGCAAGCTAAATTAAACACCTGTTGTCTAACTGCAAACAAAAGTGTGCTTTGGACATTGAGATTACTTTGATTAAAATTTGACATTTCCTTTTTGTAGAACACATCATTAACGGCTCTAGAAACTAAGTTCCCCATTTTACAGAGAGAGAAAAATTCTCTTCTCAGTACCCTCTGGGAACGTCAAATCACAGTTCTCCTTTCTGAATCACTTTGGAAGGTGCTGTAGGAAGAGTATGTTTCCATGTACAAATTGCATGATTCATAAAGCTGCCAGTTGCAAGAAAACCCAGAGAGAGGGCAACGCAATTAATAGGCCCATGGGAGGGTGGTTTAGCAGCATAGAAAATGCCTAAAGGCAGCGACTCACTGAAATACAAAGACATTATGAGCTGAAGGAAGTAATACTGCTGTGAACACCTGTTAACAAGGCTTCTAAGGAACAGACATTCAGAATGAGGAGACTACTGAAAATAGAACTTCCCTGAGACACCTCTCTTATCCTAATGAATGCTTATAGTCGGTCAGGGATTTTGGAATTTGTGTTGCTGTCAGCTGACTGAGAATTCATATCATATCATTTTGGAAAGGGTGACTTTGTGCTTAAGTTTTGCACTATGGTATTCCTGGCTGTGCTGCCTACAGATCCAGAGTTACATCCCCCTATGGAGCTACGCCGGTTTCTCTCACCACTTCACAACTTCCTGGAATTCCAGTGTTGCATGGCCCAGCTCCAGAGTTATCTACAGCTCCAGTGCTGGGTCCTCCAGCTGGAGAGCTGCCTAAATACTGGATGATAAATCCTCCGGTTTCAATGGTGCAAACTCCATTTCCAGGATATCCACTATTGGTGATGTACCCTCCTCCATCTGGGCAGCAGGCTACACCTCCAGAGACTTGTCCTGTGCCTACAGAGCTGGTTACGACTTTAGAACTGTAACCCCCACCTCCAGAGACGACTCCTCCAGGTGGACACCAATGCACACGTCCCGGGAGGTAGTGGCTACACCCAGAGCTCACCACACCTCTGGATATGCAACTGCCACTTCTGGAGCTGAACCCTCCAGGTGGACAACAGTCTGCACCTTCAGGGATGTTTTGGCTACCTGCAACGCTGACTTCACTTCTGGGGCAGACTCCTAAACTTTTGGAGCTAAAACCCCCACCGAGGGAGCCGCATCTTCCACGCCCAGAGCTGTAGCCTCTACTTAAAGAGCCGTAACCACATCCACTTCCAACTCCAACCGCTGTACCACAGTCTCCAGCTATGTTGGAGGAGTTGGTGACCACAGCTGCAAGAAAACACAGGGGCAGTAAGTTGAGCAGAAAGCTGGCATTCTCATAGAAAAAACCCAAAACTAGGAATAGCCCAATTGTGGATGCTCGGATTACTTACATACACTCACAGGCATCCCCAAACATATCCTGTTGGGGAAAGAAAAGAAAGATGAGTACTTCATCCCATCAACTAGCTCTACTTCTAGGAACTTGACGTTCATTTTTTTCTCACTTCAGCCTACCGACCAACCCACTCCATCCTTATGTGTTTCTCTCATCCCCTGCATTGCATCATGTCCAGGACAGGAGGCTCTCTCTTGTAAATACATTGTCTTGTGCGGTGGAGCTCTGGTAGCTGTTTGGATTTCCTAGGCAATCCGCATCTTCATCACTGAAAAGCCACTTAGAGATTGTTCCACAGTCGAGCTTTATGGTTTTTTGCACCCACCTGCTTTCTTCTCCTTCCAGCAGTTTCTTGTATGTAGTGATCTCGATATCCAGGGCCATCTTGACATTCAGGAGCTTCTGGTAATCACGCAGCATGCATGCCAGCTCATCCTTGGCCTTCTGGAGAGCGTTCTGCAGTTCCATGTGTTTACCTCGAGCATCTTTAAGAGCACAATCACCGCGCTGCTCAGCATCACAAATGGCTGTTTGCAGACAGGCAATCTGCCAAGGGAGAAAACGGAAGACATTACTGACGTGTCTTTACCAGAGCTCTGAGCCATCAGCCTCTGGATTCACTTCCCATGTTTCAGTTCCAATTCAGAAGAACGGACACATAGCTGAGGAAAGCCTAACATCTTGGAAGCTGTATACCTCGTTTCATGGCCTTCTTTCAAGATACTCCAAGTGTCCATAATAAGGTCTACCTGTTATAAGACAGATGACATTGCTTAGTAGTATGGCATAATTTTGGCATCTCCCTCAAAGGCATGAAGTATTGGCCGCTATCAAAGGCTAGATGCTGGGTTTGCTGGTGTATCCGCTATTCTATGGTATTCCCATAGGTCTCGTAATGGGGACACTCACCTCTTGAGCACCTCTTAGTGGCTGGGTATGGTACCACAGACCTTTTCTCACCCCTGGCAACCCCTTCAGGCTGCCAGCCAACCTTGGTGGGACTTCAGCAGCTTGGCCCTCTGGCTGAGTCACCGAGTCCAAATGAACTCCTTCCGGGGTGGGTATTACACAATCTATTTGCCCTTAGTAGCGCCTTCAGTCCTGGCTCTGTGTCCCTTTAAATACAGCCCTTTTTTGGGCTCCCAATTCAGTCCTGTCTCCTTTGTGGGGTTGATACCACTTTGCTTATGGCCAATAGGGGAACCTGGGCCTGCCCACTACTCTGGAGTCCCACCCAAGGACCCTATACACAGCAGCCATGTATGGCTTACCTCAATCCTTCACTTTCCCTGAGCCTCTTTCTATCAGCACTTTTATCTCCAGCCCTACCTCAGCGCCAATGTCCTCAGGTTCTTCGCCTCTGCAATCCCAACTACGTAAGTTCAGCCAGAGATAACCTCTGGCTAATTCCCCCGCTCCCTTGGCCAGAGAGCAGCCCCTGTTTTCACTCATCTAGTCCCAGCCTGGAACTGACCTGCTCAGACCCTGTAGCAACTTTTACCTGAGCCTGCTGGGCTCTGATTGGCTGAACGTCTCTTTTTTTTTTTCCAAGAGAATGACTGGGGCTGCCTTGCAATTCCTCTCGCTGCATCTAGCGGGTGCTAAATTGTGGCAGAGGATGGAACCAAAACGGAAACCGAAGACAAGGAAGAAAGCGTCGTCTCTGAGGAGACCAGACTTGAGAAAGAAAAGGCTTGCTTGTTATGCCACTACTGCTCTCACTAATGCTCATCCTTAGAGTTATCCTCCCAAATTTTCAAAGGGCGGTAAGAAGAATTAATCTGGTTGAATAAGAAGGGACAGAACCCGATTCTCATTTGCACTCAGGCCCCAGCTCTGGCCGTGTAAAGGAGCCTTCAAAAGAAAGTAAATGTAATTTATACGCACTATATGGCCACTGGCAGAGTGGTGAAAGGAGCCTGAATGTGATTGAAAATAAAGCCCAAAATCACTTTCCCTTTTATTACACGTAATTTCTCTTTTTCCCATCACTACTACTTTCCTTGACAAGCGAAAGGTGATGACGATTCTCAAAATCCTTGAATTTGGCTAGACAGAAAGTCTACTCAATAAGTTGAAGAAGTGAAATTATGTCTTAAGGGCTGGATGCTTCAGTCCATCTTCTATGAGGGTTGCCAGTTTTGGTTGGATTTATTCCTAGAGGTTTCATCACACGACATCATCTTTAATTGAAAATTAATCTTTAATTCCTGGATTCTCCAGGACAATCCTGAAGGGTTGGCAATCCTATCTTCTATAATACTTCGAATTGTGGTGGTGGGGTTTTTTTAAACAATTGGCCTCATTCATTCCAACCTAGCAACCATCTCAGATCAGTCTTGGTTCATGCCACAGACACAATGGCATCATTCAGAACCAGAGCATAATTCCTAGCCATACAGTATTCAAAGATAGCATCCATACTAATACACCTGGCATATTCATCGGAAAATCAAAACATCAAAATCACTCCTACCTGTTTCTTTATATGGTCAGTCTCACCCTGCAGCTTCTGGATCAGGCGGGTTAGCTCTGCAATCTCATGCTTGTTTCTCTCTAGATCCTCACAGAATCTGCCCCTTTTGTCCTGAAGCTCCTCGAACTGGTATCCAGAAACAAACTGATTGTTAATTGAACTTGCATCATACAATAGCCTGTATCGTACCTGTGTCATTTGCTACTCACCCTGGTTTGGTACAAAACATCAACTTCTTCTTTGCTCTTCTGAGCAATCTCTTTGTACCAGCCTTCAACGTTCTTGATTATGCAGTCCGTGTCCAAGTCTCTGCTGTTGTCCATTTTCACAACAACTGCGGTGTCGCAGAACCGGCCATCCATCTGAGCTCTCTCCTGCAATTGCATAAAGTCTTGGGTATCATTTAAAGCCCCCTCCCTTATCCATACTTCCAAGATGTTCACTCAAGGACAAAGGGTCTCTCTTCACTGGGCTAGTTCTGATCCTGCAACTAAAGACCAATGTAAAGGGCTTTGCCTGTGAGAAATACAGAAGCCTTTCCTCTTAGGAGTAGGGGCAGGCCAACCAGGTAGGTAGGACGTGTCCAATTTCTGCTGGATTTGGGGAGGAAAAGACAGGTCTCATTGTTCCCATGCATACTGGTTTGTCACCAGATAGATCCAGGGTGAAGATTCATGCATTATGGTGTAACGTTATATAGGCTTCATAATTCCATGTTTAGGAGTGGATTAGTAAATGTTTCTTAGAGGCAATCAACTAGGTGGAGTTTCTAGCTTTGGAGTCCTTGCTGCCTATAGTAATTTGGACTCTATGCAACATGACGGTGATTTCAAGGAGAAGCATGGTACTGAATTTCCATGCAGGTGGAATGAGAAGAATCCTTACCTCATCAAACACACATCTCAGAAATTCCAGCTTCTGCTTCAACAAGATCATGTTCACCTCTAGCTCTTCCTTGTGCAGCAAGGCGCAGTCTGCCTCCTGAGGAAAAAAGGCCACAGGTATTCCAAAACACTGGGGAAACAGTATCAGAGGCAAAGCCTGTTGTCTGTTTCCATCAGGCTTGTGGAACAGAATGTCTCGATTTGCCAGGCTTCCTTAAGGGGCTCCCGTGCCTCCAAGAGGAAAAGCAACCCACCTCAAAGTCAGTGAGGAGGAAAAGTCCTCTTCGTTACTTAGAACTTGGTGGAAAACCCAGTATTGACTACTGAAAGTTTAAATATGAACTCTAAATATTCAGTGTTTTTGTCTCGTTTTCTGAGATCAACCTACAATAGATCTAGCAAGGAAGAAAAATTAAGATGCCCCTCTTTAGATTATTGAAATATCAGTCATTAGTGGGCCTTTACTCTTCCATGCATCCATGCAAAATGGTTATAGCTATATTTACAGATCCACACTTTCTCTTTTAGCCACCTGAATTTCTCACCTTCTTGAGCACCACAAACTCAGTCTCTGCCGCTGTGCGCCTACTGATTTCCTCTTCATACCTGTGGGAAAAGAGAAGAGACAGCGGTGGGTCAGTTTTGTCAACTGCCATAACACACATGGGCAATATTTTTCTCTTTCAACTTGAAATCAACGTTGGGCCTATTTCACCAATCGCCAATTGGGGGTTGAACTAGATGACCTCCTGAGGTCCCTTCCAACCCTGATATTCTATGAATTGCAAATGCCATTTCAATCGATATCATTGTTGTTAGATATTTGGTGGCGTGTGTGTGTTCTCTCTGCATGCTGCACTGGCTCTGGCCAGATATCCCAAACAGCAGGCTTCAGATCAAACTGCTCAATAAGACCACAAGACTTGGTTTAGTAGCAAAGGTGCCCGGCCAGGTTTTATCATCAACAAAGCACAGTAACGGCACCTGGCAGACGTGCCGAAGATACTAAGACATGTATGCTTGTGACAATGGATGCAGTTCAGTCACTGGTGGGACTTTCCACTGCTCCGTAGGCTGGCCAAAGACCGTATATTGGAGATATATTTTTAATACACGGATACAAACAAATTACAAATGACGTATCAGGGTGCCACCCGCTGATGTATTTGGGTGCCACTCACTGCCTTGTACATGTTGATTTGATGAAAACATTTTTATCCATTTTGCTGTTATCCTGACCTTGTCTTTAGGATGGGTCAGTGTGTTCCTGTTATCTGTGGGGAATGTGCTGGAATCGAGGTGTTCTGGTACCACCCTTCTGGGATATATATTTTTGCAATATCAGCCCTGTGCTTGCCAAATTCTGTGAGTAGGGCCTGCCTCTTGCTCACAGCCTGACTTTGCTTCATATTGGCAAAGTTTTGGCCACTACTTTAGTTCAGGCCTCAGGCCTCATAACAGGCCTCTAATACAAGGGCTTAGGTCTCAGGCTCTATTCCTATCACAACAGTTATACCAGCTAAAGACTGGAATAATTCAGTGGTGAATCAGGCCACATTTTTTTTTCATTTCCCACAGTAGCTAAAGGAGATCACAAGAAACAGAGCAAAGTGAGAAGAAAACAAATGATGGATAATCTCTTACTTGCATTTGAATTCATCCACAAGCTTCCTTGATGCAGACTCTTCACAGGCCAGTTGTTCCTTGTCACTTAACAAACCCTCAAGCTGCTTCCTCAGGCTGCAGATATAATTCTCAAAGCACTGCTCGAGATTTTTCCGGGGGGCTGGAGGGACAGACTGCTGCAAGAGGTTCCATTTGGTCTCCAGCACCTTGTTCTGCTGCTCCAGGTGTCGAACCTGTAAATCAAAAAATTCAGCAATTTTTTAAATCTCCAAAAGCTGCCACTGAAGAAATGAAAAAAGAAAGAAATTGGGACCTTCAGTTAAACTGTCCTCTTTGATTCAGGAACTATTATTGGAATTCCAGAGGCACGAACAGAATATTTGGCAACTAGAGGGCCAAAGGAAGCAGATCTTTGGAAAATGATACTTAATAGTAACTCCCTTCCTCCTCTGAGTAATCATAAATATGTATCAAAGTTGAATACATTTTAAGCTAACAAATACTGTATTCCATTCATCTTCATATTACATGTATCCCCATGGTTTTGAAATGCACAGGAATGATATTAATATCATTTTGTGTGTCATATATAAACATCAAAAGGCCAAGAAAATAAATTTAAGTCTAAAGCTCTATCTGTCTCCTCGTCCAGGTACTTGGAAGGAGAGTAATGTTGAATGTAAACTAAAGAGGATCAAAAACTAATTCGGTGTCATTGAACGGTGACTGCCCGGATAGTGCCCAGCAAATTGCAAATTAAGGAGGTGACAGTCTTTTCATAACCATGTCATTCCATTGACTTCACTACAATTATTCTTAAATTTATAAGTGTGAATGGAATCAAGGCCAGATGTTGCATTCCTTTCAATGAACTAAATAATGACTCCAAAAAAACGCTTTGTTTCCCATCCTCGGATGAGAACAATAGTGCCATTGTTTCCATTCCACTTAGCACAAACCATTCTCAATGGCAGCAGAACTTTAATGCAGACCTCATTGGAGAATGTGGAAACAACGGACTTGAAGGGTGACTGCAGATAACCATCACCCAGGCATGTTTGGTTTTTCATATTGTTTCTTTAATAGCTTTGTAGCTGTTGAGGCAAGAGGAACCACTGCGGTCATCTAGTCTGACCTGACACAACCCAGGCCATAGAATTTTACCCAACAGTTCCTGCATCATAGAACCATAGAGGATCAGGGTTGGAAGAGACCTCTGGAGGTCATCTAGTCCAACCCCTTGCTCAAAGCAGGACCAATCCCCAACTAAATCATCCCAGCCAGGGCTTTGTCAAGCCTGACCTTAAAAACCTCTAAGGATGGAGATTGCACCACCTCCCTAGGGAACCCATTCCAGTGCTTCACCACCCTCCTAGTGAAATAGTGTTTCCTAATATCCAACCTAGAGCTCCCCCACTGCAACTTGAGACCACTGCTTCTTGTTCTGTCATCTGCCACCACTGAGAACAGCCGAGCTCCATCCTCTTTGGAACCCCCCTTCTTAACTTCTGATTGAGACAGAGTAGATCTTTTAGAAAGTCATCTAGCCTTGGTTTAAAGCCTTCAAGTGACGGAGACTTTCCAAAGAGTTAAGTACCGCAGTGGCTCTGTCTCGGGGCATGATCCAACTCCAGTTAAGTGAATTTGGGTGTCTTTCCACTGATTTCAGTAGGGATTTGACTGGGCCCCAACCCAAGGACAATCTGTTGCTCTTGTTCTGAAGGTCACAGTCTGAACGTGGGGAAATTTGGATCTGGATGTAGATCCAGATTAGAAATCTGCACCATGGGCCAACCTCTTTGTTTTATTGAAAGAAATATAGAAAACATCTATTCTCTCACCTTGTCAATGAAGCAGGCAAATTGGTTGTTCAGGGTCTTCATCTGCTCCCTCTCGTGTTCTCGTGCCTGATGTTCTTGTGGGTCAACTCCTACGCAGAGGGGCTTCAGGAGGGACTCATCGACGCTGACCCCTCGGATACCCTCCTTGCTGCAATCGGCATAACCTCCGAAAGTTCCATAGCCTCTGGGTCCGCAAAGACCTACCCTGCCGCTAAAACCTCCAGAGTTGCCATAACCTGCACTGCCCCAACCTGAGCTACCATAGCCATAACCCCCGTAGCATCCAGCACCACTAGGGCTGCCCCCAGCATCGACAATTCTTATGCTTCCACCCAGGTGGCAGACACTCCTGCTGCTGTAGCCACTAACTCCACATCTTTCGACCGGCGGACCAACGGAGGCCGTGCAGGTTCGATGTCCGTTTAGGCCACAGACGTCAGAAGCGGAACTGAAGCCCTTTCGTCCAACGGTGGAGCTTGCAAAAAACGTCTGTCTGTTCATAGTGGCGTATTTGAAGTGGGAATAAGGGAGCTGCAGTGTGTGACAGCAGCAAAAAGTGAAGGAGAAAGGACTCCTCTGATGTGACACCTTGACATTACCCCTTATATATGCAAGCGAAGCTGGGCTTGGCTGGATCAGAAAATTAATTCCGAGTTTTCAAGGGTTTGGTTTGCCTAGCAGCAGGTGCTTTGCTACTTGCAATGGTTCATAGTAAACATTAACCACTTATGAAATAATAATGCATTTAAAATGCTTTGTTTGCAAGCTTTGCTCAGAAGATATTCTTGTTTAAAGTATTCTCATTTTATACTAATTATAGCTTAGCGGATGTATTCATGAGAGTCTTCATAGTTTGTTTGCAATTGTGTTTTTATTCTTCTGTCCCTTGGGTTTTATAATGCGACAATGCATTCTGCAGATTTGCCTTTTACGGATATAGTTTCAAGATCTGTCCTTTTTCCTCCCACCAGTGTGCTGGGCTCATGTTTGGTGAATTTTTTCAGTCAAACAGTAAACTTGCCAGAAACTGCATTTTCAGGGTGACCAAAGCTATTTACGAAATCACGTCAAATGCAGCAAATAGCTTTGTCGGGGGGGGGGGGGGGAGAAAAAAAGTCAAAATTTATAGCATTTGCTAGAACCTACTAAGTTTATCCAACAGATCCTCAATTGGATCCATTTGATATGCCTGCACCTTGACCCCCATTATATAAGAGTTTTTATATCCACTCAAATAAAATCATAATTTCTTTAGGTTTGGTTGGGAATATGTACAAGTAACAAAAACAGACCACAGAGGAATCTCAGTCAAACCATCATGTTCATTGCATTTCTACGCCCCATCTAGCTAATGAAGAGAGCGTTCCTGTCTTTTAGCTCTTGTGGTGAAGTTAATTAATAAGTAAATGCTCTTCAAAAAAAGGTTGTTTGGCTGTGCAGTCCCAGCCAATCCTAAATAGATGAACACGTCACCAATACCTTGAAAGGAGAAAATTCAGACACTTTCATTTTTTGCATGGCTTTGGGGAACTCACTGCAGAAGACTTTCGGGTGTTGAAACTAGACTGGGAGCAGGATGTGGACAGGGTTCCTCCCTTGTTTTTGAAGAAGCGTCATCTGGCTTGCAATTTTAACAAGCTCTGTATCATCTTGTCTCTAAATGAAGAACAGCAAAGTTCCCTTCGGGCCATCATTCTCCCACTTGATCTTGGCAGGGACCTGTGCTGCATTATCACAAGAAATCTGTCCTTTCTCCTTTGGCACTTTGATCACTGAGCATTCAGAGAGGTAAAGCGGCAAGCACTTCAGACTCCTCTCTCGTGTTAATATGTCGCCGTACAGCTTGTTTATTAAGATTTTGGTCAGATACAAATGCCCAGCACCAAAACGCACCCAGGCAAACATTGAAAAACCACAGGAACATAGGAGAGACAACCAAGGAGCAATTTGGTGTAAGAGCAACATTTCTTCCACTCCCCAACACGTCATTTAATCACCAGCTAAATGACCAACGCAACTTAAACCACCTCTGCACTTTCTCCACTGCCTTGGGCCTCCCTCAGTGCCTGCTCAGACTGATGGGCTTTCAAGGCAGAAGGTCAAACAACTGTGGCTACTTCAGACCACAGTGGGCATGCCAAAAGAAAAGAGCTGTTTCACGGAACACCCTGCCAGCTGCTTTCACCCCTTTATAACAAAGGCGGACAAGGTCAAGGGGGACTCAGCTTATCCCAACTGTGACACTATGACATGTGGAGAGCAGTGGTGTTTCAAATAGGCAGGTTTCAAACTTGTTCAACATGCTAAACCTTTGCGGAGACATTTTCCAAGAGATGCTGGGGATCTTACACCCGTGTAACACACAAAGACAATGTGAAACCGTTGAGCACTCCTTAAAATATTCACTCCTTTGGTCTTGAATCCTCCAAAGGGGGGTTAAGTGGGACTTAACTACTGCACAGGTCTTCTGACTGAGTTGCTTGTAACAGGAGAGCTTCTCAAAGCTCTCCGTGGTTCATTATTTCTCAAAGGATTCATTGTTTCAACTTATAACAGGGGACTGGACTCAATGATCCAGTGTCTTCCAGTCCTATGTTCGCTCTTTGTTTTCACATTGCTTGAATCTCAACTTCTGAGCACAAAATTAGTGATACCCAGTGTAAAGCCTGCACACGCACACACACACTGCGATTAAACAAGCAAAGTAGGTCTAGGTTGGATATTAGGAAACACTATTTCACTAGGATGGTGGTGAAGCACTGGAATGGGTTACCTAGGGAGGTGGTGAAATCTCCATCCTTAGAGGTTTTTAAGGCCCAGCTTGACAAAGCCCTGGCTGGGATGATTTAGTTGGCGTTGGTCCTGCTTTGAGCAGGGGATTGGACTAGATGACCTCCTGAGGTCTCTTCCATCCCTAATCTTCTGTGATTCTATGATGTGTACATGATGTACCAGTGCATAGTAATTAACGTGTAAATGTGATGCTGTAGCAAAGTACAACCATACTTTGATCTTCCTCAAGAGGCTGTTCTTCCCCCTCCAGAACTACAGTGGTAATAAATGTGTGGTTTAATGGGACTCCCAAATACTGGGTTAAGAGATATAGCCATGGCTGTAAAAGTGCATATAAATCAAAGCCTGAATAAAACAAACACTAGTGACCACATCTAGGTCTTGGTTACACCCATCTGAATCTGGAATAATAGTTCTAAACATGATCTACAAAGGCAGGCCAGAGAGAGAGAGAGAATGCTGGTGCCCCAGTAGAACTGATTCTCTAGATGAAGAGTATTCTTAAATTTCTGCAGTGTGATAGGAGGAATGGAGGAGATGGTATGATGGGATAACATGATTTTGGCAATTAATTGATCTTTAAATATTCATGGTAAATAGGCCCAATGGCCTGTGATGGGATGTTAGATGGGGTGGGATCTGAGTTACTACAGAAAATTCTTTTCTGGGTATCCAGCTGGTGAATCTTGCCCATATGCTCAGGGTTTAGCTGATTGCCATATCTGGGGTCGGGAAGGAATTTTCCTCCAGGGCAGATTGGAAAAAGCCTTAGAGGTTTTTCACCTTCCTCTGTAGCATGGGGCACGGGTCACTTGCTGGAGGATTCTCTGCTCCTTGGAGTCTTTAAGCCATGATTTGAGGACTTCAGTAGCTCAGACATAGGTGAGAGGTCTTTCGCAGGAGTGGGTGGGTGAGATTCTGTGGCCTGCGTTGCGCAGGAGGTCAGACTAGATGAGCATAATGGTCCCTTCTGATCTTAATATCTATGAATCTATGAATGCTAAATTGTAATCTCAAAATTGATTCACTGTGAATCGTTCACAGCCTGATTTACTGTTTACCCCGCCCCCGCCGCCTTCTATTTGCAGTTTAGGACTATCTGAGTTCTGAAGTATGGTTAGAGGTTCAGTACTGCCAGAACTGTATCCATTCTTATGCTAGCCCTGTCCCCGAGCACTATAATCCACTGCTCACCTGATCACTGTCTCCAGGGTTTCCTGATCTCGTTTACACAGGTTTTACAACACACTAACTCCATTGGCATAACTACCAAAACACTCTGGTCATGGGTGGCACGTGACCCGCAGGCTGGGGGAGGCTAAGCTCCCCAACTCCGAAGTGCCAGGAGGGCGGGCGGTGCGGCCCCAGCCTGAGCCGGGGACACTGCACAGGGGGTGTTAAGGCTGATTCCCCACTCTGGCGCTTCAAGTGCAGGTGGTGGGGGCCCACGAGGATTTTAAAAATTAATACTGGCCACTCCAGGCTTGTATTAAACTCCCAAGGTCACAGCTTCACTCTGACCTTGGATGGGTAGATGCTGCCACAACCCAAATGCAAAACCCCTTGGAACCCAGGAAGGCGCACTTGGAAATTCCTTCCTGTGGGGTGCCCTCAAGTCCTTTCACCCCCTGCCCACTCCGGGGAAGAGCTGAGAAAGGAAAACAAAGAAATCAGCTGTTATCACCAGCTAATTAAAAAACATGGCACAAACCTCTTAAGACACAAAAATTCAAATCCTGCTCTTAAAAAAAAAGTAAATTTTATTAAAAACAAAAAGAAAGAAAATGCATCTGAAAACTCAGGCTATTGCTAGATTTCTTTAAAAGAGTAATTCCAAAAATTAAGCACCCAAAATAGTTTTCAGGGGGTTCAGCTTAAAGGTTACAAGCAACAAAAGCCTCTGGGGTTAAGCACAGAGGGGTCCACAAGCCAATAAGAAATAAACAGAAATAAACCTAATGCATCTTTCTAAACATTCCTGATCTACTTACATATCTGGGTTGTTAAATAAGTAGTTCTAGATATGATCTGAGGATTTTCCTATCTGGCCTTCAGCTTCTTACAGCTTAACTGCTGCCCTGTTCCCCCCTTTCCCAGAGGACAACAACAGCACACAAAGGGAAAGCTTCCCCCCCCCCCCCAGTTTTAAAAAGTTCTAGCCTTTCCATTGGCTTTTTTGGTCAGGTGCCCACACCCTTTCTTTACCTGTGGACTTTTTTAACCCTTTACAGGTAAAGCAAGCATAGAACAGCCACCAGGAAGGACTTTACAGCTAACTGGTTGTCTGGGTGTCCATAAAAGGGAGCTACCCCCGACCCCTTCATTTATCACAGGGGGACTGGAGCTGCGCACTGGAAGGAGGGAGGCTGGGGGCGGAGCCTGGGTGGGGCCATGCCGAGCTATCTGGGGAGGTACAGCCTCCCCCAGCCTACGGTACCCGCCGCCCATGTCACTGGTGTACACAAGCTCAGACTCACTGATTAACGGTGGCTGTTGGGAAGGCATTAAAGCTGGTTGGGAAATGAAATCACACACCAAAAAAGTCAAAATGACATTGCATCTTCAGTTTCTGGTGCAGAGTGTTTAGTGTGTGACACTAAACTGGGAGGAGTGGTAGATACGCTGGAGGATAGGGATAGGATACAGAGGGACCTAGACAAATTGGAGGACTGGGCCAAAAGAAATCTGATGAGGTTCAACAAGGACAAGTGCAGAGTCCTACACTTAGGACGGAAGAATCCAATGCACAGCTACAGACTAGGGACCGAATGGCTCGGCAGCAGTTCTGCAGGAAAGGACCTAGGGGTTACAGTGGACGAGAAGTTGGATATGAGTCAACAGTGTGCCCTTGTTGCCAAGAAGGCCAATGGCATTTTGGGATGTATAAGTAGGGGCGTTGCCAGCAGATCGAGGGACGTGATCGTTCCCCTCTATTCGACATTGGTGAGGCCTCATCTGGAGTACTGTGTCCAGTTTTGGGCCCCACACTACAAGAAGGATGTGGAAAAATTGGAAAGAGTCCAGCGGAGGGCAACAAAAATGATTAGGGGACTGGAACACATGAGTTATGAGGAGAGGCTGAGGGAACTGGGGATGTTTAGTCTTCCGAAGAGAAGAATGAGGGGGGATTTGATAGCTGCTTTCAACTACCTGAAAGGAGGTTCCAAAGAGGATGGCTCTAGACTGTTCTCAGTGGTAGCAGATGACAGAACAAGGAGTAATGGTCTCAAGTTGCAGTGGGGGAGATTTAGGTTGGATATTAGGAAAAGCTTTTTCACTAGGAGGGTAGTGAAACACTGGAATGCGTTACCTAGGGAGGTGGTGGAATCTCCTTCCCTAGAAGTTTTTAAGGTCAGGCTTGACAAAGCCCTGGCTGGGATGATTTAGTCGGGGATCGGTCCTGCTTTGAGCAGGGGGTTGGACTAGATGACCTCCTGAGGTCCCTTCCAACCCTGATATTCTATGATTCAAATGGCAAAGTCCACATTCTCCCTTTTGCTGGGATTGCAGGACATAACTGGACACCTAAACTTACTTTTGATGTTATTTTTGTATTTTGAGGATTTCCTGATGATTTATTGGTGTGACCTCTAGCTGAATTCTAAGATATTGACCTTCAGGGGGACTAATCAAATCTTTAAAGTTAAGTACACGCTTAACTGTCCTGTTGAATCACAGCCTAGAGATGAAAGAAACCACAAACTCTTCCACTGCTATTCCACTGTTGTGTAGCAGGTGGCAGCACCTTCTCCACTGTACGGCAACATGGTCCACACTCCATTCTCAACTGAGACACACGTACACCTCCAGATGAGCATACTGTGATTGCTTCATTGCTCTTTCCAATTATATACCCAGTTTCGTTCCTTATATGGTTTTCTTTGTTAAGGACGGAGCTTGCTTTTCTACTGCTTACAGGTGAGGTAAGAGTAGAGTTGTTTACCCTTATCATGGAAAGAGGTCTTCCATATTTTGAAAATCAACATCTAACTATGCCGGAGACTGCTATTATAGTTAATGTTGAAATGTCATTACTCTGGAAGTAGTTTCCTGGTTAACTACCATGTGTCATAAATATAAAGGGAAGGCTAAACCCCTTTGAAATCCCTCCTGGCCAGGGGAAAGCTCCTCTCACCTGTAAAGGGTTAAGAAGCTAAAGGTAACCTCGCTGGCACCTGACCAAAATGACCAATGAGGAGACAAGATACTTTCAAAAGCTGGGAGGAGGGAGAGAAACAAAGGGTCTGTGTGTCTGTCTATATGCTGGTTTCTGCCGGGGATAGACCAGGAATGGAGTCTTAGAACTTTTAGTAAGTAATCTAGCTAGGTATGTGTTAGATTATGATTTCTTTAAATGGCTGAGAAAAGAATTGAGCTGAATAGAATAACTATTTCTGTCTGTGTATCTTTTTTGTAACTTAAGGTTTTGCCTAGAGGGGTTCTCTATGTTTTTGAATCTAATTACCCTGTAAGGTATCTACCATCCTGATTTTACAGGGGGGATTTCTTTATTTCTATTTACTTCTATTTTTATTAAAAGTCTTCTTGTAAGAAAACCGAATGCTTTTTCATTGTTCTCAGATCCAAGGGTTTGGGTCTGTGGTCACCTATGCAAATTGGTGAGGCTTTTTATCCAACATTTCCCAGGAAAGGGGGGGTGCAAGTGTTGGGAGGATTGTTCATTGTTCTTAAGATCCAAGGGTCTGGGTCTGTAGTCACCAAGGCAAATTGGTGAGGCTTTTTACCAAACCTTGTCCAGGAAGTGGGGTGCAAGGTTTTGGGAAGTATTTTGGGGGGAAAGACGTGTTCAAACAGCTCTTCCCCAGTAACCAGTATTAGTTTGGTGGTGGTAGCGGCCAATCCAAGGACAACGGGTGGAATATTTTGTACCTTGGGGAAGTTTTGACCTAAGCTGGTAAAGATAAGCTTAGGAGGTTTTTCATGCAGGTCCCCACATCTGTACCCTAGAGTTCAGAGTGGGGGAGGAACCTTGACACCATGTAAGTAGATCTCCAGTTGTATCACTGTGTTCATACACTATCTGGTACAAAACACTTACGACCTGGTTCTCCTTTACACTTAAGGCATGTCAACACTGCAGTCAGGTGGCATGAACGAAAAAGTTTGGGGACCACTGTCTTAAAGAGAGATCTCCTTATTAGGCACATGGGTTACACAGACAGCTCAGTAGGTGAATGCTACCTTAGTGTGCGTGCAGCTCAGGCATGAAAATTTCAACAGGAGCCCATGACCCAGGCAGACCAAGACATAAAGTTTAGGTGTAGAATCACTATGGCCAGAATGAAAAACATGTCCCTGCCCACTGACAGCAATTCACATTGCAATATCCATTCCTGATCATAACCATTCCATAGAAAACCAGACATGCCACATGGAAGTTATATTATCAATAATCCCCTCCATCTCAGAGCAGCTTTGCCAGCAAGATTTTAAAACAGAGATCCTTGTAACTTTTGGTTTATCTAGTGGGACTCTAGCTGTCTTTAGGTATCTTGTCATGTTATTTATCAACCCCCTTTTGCTAAATGTGTTACTCTTCTCTCTGATTAAACGTATGCTGTCTACGTCATGGGTTGTATTTGGCTCTGAATTCTCTCTTTTCCTATTGTACCTTGGGAAATGTTTCAGGAAATGACGTAATGAGCTCTCTGGGCCTGATTCTCCTCTCACTTTCACCAATGTCAATCAGAAATAATTCTGCAAATCAATGGAATTATACCTCCGTGAAACTGGTGTAATGGGCATCAGAGTTGGCCTTGTAGGAATTGAATTTCTAGAACCTTTTTTAGTTGTCTTTGATCAGTTTAGACAGTCATCCCCTAACGAGGAATGCGAGTCAGAAAAATTGTCAAAATCCATTTCACTCTATGTAATCAGCAGTGAGTATTTACTGTTGCTTGTGTGCAGCAAAGTATTCTGACTGTGTTCTCGGTGTGTTCTGTGTGGCAAAGTCTGTGCTCTTTATACATAAAATGTACCACCATTCCCTGTGCTTTGATGTTTGTCTAAAGCTCTAAACTTTCTTCTGTACCTCAAGTAGAACGCACGAAGAATGAATGTGTTGTCACTGAGTTTGGAACATTTCACATGAACACAAGAATCTCTCATTCCCAGATTATGTAACCATGCGTGAGTTGTCTACATAGCGTTCAGATCAATCTGCTCATTAGAGATTATGAAGTAACAAGCCAAGATTTCGATCCTGTTCAGAGAACATGACATGAGTCAGATCCTAGGCTCCAGTGCAAATTGGTGTTGCTCTAGTGAAGTCAGTTGAGGCACACAGATTGATTCCAGCCAAGGATCTTGCTCATTGTATTTAATCGAAGTTTTAAGACTTACAAAGAGTCTAGTCTCTTTAGGTTTGTATGCTACATCCATCAGGATGGTAGGAGAGTGCCTGAGGCCCACTGTTATATGAGTTAAAAGTTCACTGCAACTAGGGTTATTCTGAAAATAAATTGGAAATAGAATATCAAAGTTGGAAGGGACCTCAGGAGGTCACCTAGTCCAACCCGCTGCTCAAAGCGCCGATCCCCAATTTTTGCCCTAGATCCCTAAATGGCCCCCCTCAAGGTTTGAACTCACAACCCTGGGTTTAGGTAGGCCAATACTCAAACCACTGAGCTATCCCTCCCTGCAAAAGCTTGTGTCCAAATATGATTGGTTGGTTATGTCACTTGGAAATCCTGTGCGCACTGATTCAGAATCTCAAGTCAGATCAAAGGGAGAGCTCCAGGGTGTGGGAGTAACTTTATTTTGTGCTTGAACGGATAAAAACAAATTGGCAGCACCACAGAGAGCTGAAGTGGCTTGAGATTAAGTTGATAAGAACTAACTTGAGCAACAGAGAAATACATCAAATCATATAGAACCTAGGAGATGGTTTAAGTAGGTGAAGAATATTTTTCAAGAAGGAAGAAGGGATACTTGACTCAGAAGGAAGATCTCCTTAAAGTCTGGAATATGAAGCACGTCATTACTAGCTGTCTTCTGGACTACATTTATGGTGCATAAGAACATATGAACATAACAGCCATACTGGGTCAGACCAAAAGTCCATCTAGCCCAGTATCCTGTCTTCCGAGAGTGGCCAATGCCAGGTGCCCCCAAGGGAATGAACAGAACAGGTCATCGTCAAGTGATCCATCCCCTGTTGCCCATTCCCAGCACCCTCCAGCCCCACCCCCAGCTGCAGCTCCGGTCCCAGCCTCGACTCTGGCTCCAGCCCCCGGCTCCAGCAGGGGCCTAGACTGGTAGTCTCTCTACTTTTTGACATGCTGGGATGAGCAGTAAAATAATGAACAATGCTAGTATTTCAAGTTTCACAGGTGGTGTCTGCGTAAGCACCTGTTGTAATTAACAAGGCCGTTCACACCTCTGAGTTGTTGTTTCAGGCTCTCTGCAAATATAAACTGGCATCACAACATCGGTTAAAACTCAGCGCTTGTCTTCACATACAGTGCTGCCCCAGGTCCAGCTGTGCCGCTGTAACACTTTAGTGACGATGCTACTAAGCCAAGGGGAGGGCTTTCCCTATTGGTGTAATTAATCCACCTCCCCAAGGGCTGGCAGCTGTGTCAATGAGAGAAGCTCTCCCGCCAGCCTAGTGCTGCCCATGCTGGGGGTGAGGTCAGTCTAACTACATCACTCCAAGGGTGGATTTTTCACATCCCGGAGCAACGTATTTATACCTACATACGTTTGTAGGCCTGGCCTCCGATATGTTTTTAAAGCAAACCTTGAAAACTTTTTATTTTAAATGAAACCACACACTTTGGAGAAAAATTCAGAGGCTGGTGTGCATCCTTGCCCCCAGTTCCCTCCACTCTGGGCAATCGTCCATGCCTCTCCTCACAACATAGGGACCATTGCAGAATTAACTTGAGTTATCTACATGCAAGAAAAGGAGGACTTTTGGCACCTTAGAGACTAACAAATTTATTTGAGCATAAGCTTTCGTGAGCTTATGCTCAAATAAATTTGTTAGTCTCTAAGGTGCCACAAGTCCTCCTTTTCTTTTTGCGGATACAGACTAACATGGCTGCTACTCTGAAATCTACATTCAAGTTCCTCCTCTCTCATTAGCCTCATTGGGGGTGAGAGCAGCTACGCTGTGAAATACGACTCAAGCTGCTGTATCCACATGGATGTTGCACTCTTTTGTGTGTGGCACTATCCTTTTGCCCCTGGAAATCTTAAACTACATTTTTAGAGCAGCGCAGTTTCCTGAATGGAGATCTTGCAATATTCTTCCGTCTGTTTCTCCTCATTATTATACTAATGCCATCCCCGTCGTGTGTTCACAGAGATCATTTCCCCCACATCCAACTCTGGTACGATGCACCCACCTGTTCTCTTCTCCCTCCAGCAGCGTCTTGTATATGGCGATCTTAATATCCAGGGCCAGCTGGACATGCCGCAGCTCCTGGTAATCACGCAGCATACTTGCCAGCTCATCCTTGGCCTTCTGTAGGGCATGCTGCAGTTCAACATATTTCTCCTGGCCATCTTTAAGGGCACAGTCACCCTGTTGCTCAGCATCACAAATGGCTGATCGCAGACTGGCAACCTGTCACGGGAGAAAACCAAATGCATCACTTTCTTTTTCTCTGTACCTTTATCTAGCTTCTTAGCAATAAGAAATAAAAAATTCTCTGAAAGCCCCAAACTCAGAAATATGGACTCAGCCTAAACAAAAACAAAACAAAACCCATGTCTCCTCCCAGGTCATTAACTAACTCTCCGGTATTATGGGGATGGTGGTTGCCCTTCCATAGTTTAAGGCGGAGATGAGGGGTTTTTTTCCCCCCCAAAGAGGCTTCAGGCCTTGTCTACATGTACAGCACTGAAGCGGCACAACTGCCCTGAGAGAGCTTCTCTAGTCGGCTTGTCTACACCAAGGGTTAGGTCAGTATTACTCACATCTGTGTAACTAACTACAGCACTCCGGGGTGGGGTTTTCCACAACCCTGCGTGATGTCGGTAGACTGATGTAAGTTTGTAATGTACACAGAGGTGAAAGTAAGGCAGTACAGTCTACTGGTAAAAAGTGGCCCCCAGTACCGGCCTGTACCAAGGTGACTTTAAAGCACCGCCGCGGCAAAGAACCCTGCTTAAAGCACTGCCATGGCAACACTTTAACGTCGTTGCCCCTTCCCCCCCACTGCCGAAGTGGGGGGCAAAAGGAGCAGCTGCCCCGGGGCTGGCAATTTAAAAGGGCCCAGGGCAGCACGGGCTAGGCAGCGTGGAAAGGTTGGCTGGGGGACGCTGACCCCCCAGGCCCGCCCCTTCCACCTGTGGCCCTGCCCCCTTCTGGGGGACGGAGCTGGCCCCCATACCGGTAAGTCTTTGGCGTTACTTTCATCCCTGAGCTTACACCTGGCCATAGCCTCCTGGTGATTATAGGTGGTGTTGGTAGCAACACCTAGGGTTAAGCTTGCTTAACACTTCGCCTTATAAGAAAAATGAAGGATTCAGGGAGTCCTCCCAAATCACTTAGGGTTTGTCTACACAGCAACACAGTCTGGACTAAGGGGATGCAAGTTGTAGAGCACTCTAATGAGTTGCACAGTGAGTTGCTCCGTGTAGATCCGGCTAAGGAGCTGTGCAGACAAGTTCTTACTCTATGAAAGCAGAATTATAAATGGATCATAGTTCTGGGATACTGTGTGTTTAACTTTTCTCAAAAGCTTAATGTGTTATTCACTGCCAGAGGTTTGTTGGACCAGTTGTTTCATCTCCTATGGTTAATCCAATGGCCTGATGTCCATTGGCCACTGTCGGAAGATAGGATACTGGGATAGACGGACCTTTGGTCTGACCCAGTGTGGCTGTTCATATGCTAGGCTGCCGATAACTCTTCAAAGAATGTTAGCAGGATTTTTTTTTTTTTGGTCCCTTAGGCAATTAACTTTGAAAAGGAAAACTATCTGGTCAGATTTAGTGAAGCCACAGATATGGAACCACCGTGACATTCAAAAGAAGAGAGCATGGTTCAGTCATATCGCTTCTGATTTCAATGCTATATACACAAAATAAATCCAGTCACTGGGGGTGGGGGGGGAGGGAGGCGCCAAATGGTCTGTCGTACCGGTTTCTTCACATTTTCAGAGTCACTTTGCAATCTCTGGATCAGCCGTCTCAGCTCTACAATCTCATGCCGGTTGCATTTTAGATCATTACAGTATATACCTTTGGCCTCCTGAAGTTCCTGGAACTGATAGCAAGAAAAGAAAAGAAAAGAAAAGAAAAGACAACCTTGAAAAGTTAATATCAAGTAGGATATTCAAAAGTCCCGAAGTGATTTAGGAGCCTAAGTCCCATTTTCAAAGGGCCATATTTTTTGTAGTTAATTAAGTGCCTAAACATGCAGATAGGCACCTGGTGGGATTTTTCAAAAGCACCTAGGTACCCAGTATCAATGGAAATCCCAAAATGAGATGCTTAAACGGGATCTTATTTTCAAAGTATGGGTGTACAGAACTGTGTAAAAATCAGGGACCTATAAGTTTTCTCCAACTGGGCACTCAAAACCCAAAATCACTAGTCTTTGAATATCTTAGCCAAGTCAGATTTTCTGAGTCCTTAAGGATGCTCAACTGGTATGGACTTTAACTGGGGTTGTTACTGTCCAACACTTCTAAAACCCATTCCCAAAGGGACTGATGCTCCAGTCCCTTGCACTATTTTTAACCTAGTGTTGCACCATTGGCTTTGATGGAGTTATATTGCCATGGAACCAGTGTAACAGAGGGCAGAATTAAGCCCACATTGTTCTCACTGATATACTGTGTATCAGTGAAAAGGCATTGTATTCTGTGCTTATGTTTTTGTGCAAGCATTACAAATACATCTCCATACACAATAGCTGTGTGATTACTCACTCTAGCAAGGTGCAAAGCCTCAACTTCTGCTTTGCTTCCTTGAGCAATCTCCTCATACCAGCATCCAACACTTTTGAGGATACCACTGAGGTCCAGATCTCGGCGGTTGTCCATTTTCACAACTATGGCGGTCTCACAGAGTTTTCCTTCTATCTGAGCAATTTCCTACATGCAACATAAAGTCTTATTCAGCTGCCAGGTGCTTTCCTCTCCAGATTCCTTCTTTCATACTCCAGGATATGCTGTCTCTCTAGAAACACATTGCTAATTGCTTTGATCAAACTATGAGCTTGGAAGTAAATCCCATATCAAAGGAGCTTTGCCTTGGGCAATATGGGGCTTAGAGGTTCTTGGAAAACACATATTTCTCTTCCTTAACTGAGAAAAGAAAAACATGGGCACATGATCTACATTTAGCTACTGCAGAATAATGAGAGAAGGTCAAATTGGGGCCTGCTCTTCCTCTCTTGACTCAGATGTCTATTGAATCAACAATTCAAAACCAAATGAAAAATGGTCATTTACTTTTTGGAAACCGCAACATTTTGGTTTTCCATTTCAGTTTGGATATTTGGGGGGAGGGCTTACTCCCCTTTTTCTCAGTCCCCACCCCCAAAAGAACTTTAAAAAAAAAGTCAGACAAACTGTACGTGTTGAGGGAGGGGAGCTTTTTCACAGTTTTCAAAATGTTTTTTTCCCAAATTTGCAAAGAGTTTTGGCACCCCAAAAAATGCATTTTTCGACAAATTTCTACTCGCCATAAAAATGTGACCTGCCTTGAGATGCAGATACTCACTGCAGTGTAGACGTAACCATAGGAAGAAATTTGAACTGGTTTCCATCCTGCCAGTTGTTCTGCACTGGTGGACCCCACGTACCCTCATGGACTCGGAATGGGTTGCAGGATTGGGACATAAGATGCTTCTAGGAGAAGTTAGTGTTATTTCCTAGAGGACTAGACTGAAAAAAAAAAAAAAAAAAAAAAAGATTCTTACCCCAGCGTACACACACCTCAGGAATTCTATCTCCTGCTTCAGTCTTTCCACCTTTGCTTCCAGTTCCATCTTGGCCATATAGACACAATCCACATCCTGAAAAAAGGTCACAGATACTCTGGAATGATTTATATTCCAACTCTGAGTAAATGGTGACTGTGGGGAAAACCTACAATCAGCTTCAGTCTGGTTTTTTTTGGAGCAGAATCTCTCGGATTACGAGGTTTCGTTGAGAAGTTCAGATACCACCCAGAGCAAAACTGTATAATCCTCCAATTATAGGACAAGGTATGTTGAATATATATACACACAATATTGGCCATCCTTAGCATTAAAAAATTTGGAGTCATTCCCAAAAATCATGAGACCGGTTTTAAAATCATAAATTTTTTAAAGAGTAATAAATGCTGGGTTTTGTTTCTGGGCCTAGGTCACATTTTCAAGCTTTTCTCCACTGCCACACTGGCTAGAAACTTATTCTCACATAATCTGCAACTGACACCAAGGTAGGAGGGGTTGCAATCACTTGGGAGGGCCAGATTAGAATTCAAAACAATCTTAACAAGTTGGAGAATTGGTTTCAGTAAAAACAAGTACTTCACATAGGAAGGAAAAAAAATCAAATCACAACTGCAAAATGGGTAGGCCGTAGTACTGCTGAAAAGGACCTGGGGTTATAGAGGATGAAAAATTGAATGAGAATCAACAATGTAATGCAGTGGTGAAAAAGGCTAATATCATTCTGGGGTGTATTAACAGGAGTGTCGTATGGAAACCACGGGAGGGAATGGTCCCACTCTGCTCAGCACTGGTGAGGCCTCAGCTGGAGACTGTCTCTAATTCTGGGCACCACACTTTAGGCAAGATGTGGACAAATCAGAGAGTCCAGAGATGAGCAACAAAAAATGATCAAAAGTTTAGACACCCTGGCCTGTGAGGAAAGGTTAAAAACACGGGGCATGTTTAAGTCTTGAGAAAAGAAGACTGAGGGGGGACAGCATAACAGTCTTCAAATATGTTAAGGACTGGTATTAAAAAAGAGCACAGGGATCAATTGTTCTGCATGTCCACTGATGGAAGGACAAGAAGTAATGGGCTTAATCTGCAGCAAAGGAGATTTAGGTTGGATATTGGGGGGGGGGGACGGGGGGACGGACATTCTAACTATAAGGGTAGTTAGCCTGTTCCAGAGCTTTTCTATAGAGGTCATGGAATCTTTATCTGTGGCTCACACTTGGCTCTAATGACAGGTTTCAGAGTAGCAGCCGTGTTAGTCTGTATCCGCAAAAAGAAAAGGAGGACTTGTGGCACCTTAGAGACTAGCAAATTTATTTGAGCATAATGAAAGCTTATGCTCAAATAAATTTGTTAGTCTCTAAGGTGCCACAAGTCCTCCTTTTCTTTTTACTTGGCTCTAAGGGGTTAATAGAGCCCTAGGAGAGACTGCGCAGGAGACAGCCAATCAGAGAAGGGCTGAAGGGAGCAGCCAATCAGGGCCAGGCAGGCCCATATAGAAAAGGGAGTGGCATGGCAGAGGAGGGCAGTTTTCTGCTGGGAGCCCAGGGAGGTAGAACTATCGCAGGAGTGCTGAGAGAACCGCCAGCACCCTGGACAGAGCTGTCTACTAGCAGGGACCGGGGGGGGGGGGGGGCGGGGATCGAGAGACAACCTCTTTGGATATTTGGAACTTTGGAAAAATCAGATACAATCCTCTTTGGAACCCCCCCCCCCCTTCAGATAGTTGAAAGCTGCTATCAAATCCCCCCTCATTCTTCTCGTCTACAGACTAAATAAGCCCAGTTCGCTTAGCCTCTCTTCGTACGTCACGTGCCCCAGCCCCCTAATCATTTTTGTTGCCAGGCTAAGGCTATGTCTGCAGCGCACTTGGAGGTGTGACCACAGCCCGAGCTGGGTAGGCAGGCCGGAGACTCTGGCAGTGTGCATGCATGGCTAGCCTGTGCCCTTGCTATTTGTAGCTGGTGTGAGCCTGCCAGCCCATACTGCAGTCCCACAGCCGGCTGCAGTGGAGACATACCCTAAGAGGGACGATGAACAATCACAAACCCTCCACCCACTCTCGGGCTCACCAGGACACAGAGTAAGTGTGTGGTGTGAGCTGAGAATCAGCGAGTCAGAAGAGCTTCTGCACGGTGCTAATGAGGTGCTTGGCTCCGTTTTCTCCTCTGTGGACTCATCCCTGCCACGATGCAAGAGTAACTTGGTGGCTGTGCAGCCCCCGTCTCATTAATGCAGGTCACTCTCCCAGTCAAGTGCGTCTATTTTTTTTAAATCTTGCACAGTGCAGTGATACTAAGACTGTGGCTGTAAATGCGTCTCCTGCAGCACACGACATTGAACCATTGAATTAATTAACAACCAATCAGGAGGATTTTATTAGATTATTAACCAATTAAGTTATCAATTTCCACTAAATTCATAGAATCTCAGGGTTGGAAGGGACCTCAGGAAGTCATCTAGTCCAACCCCCTGCTCAAAGCAGGACCCATCCCCAACTAAATCATCCCAGCCAGGGCTTTGTCAAGCCTGACCTTAAAAATATCTAAGGAAAGAGAGACAAGTTCACTTGTTTGCTGTGAGGAGATAGATATATCTCAACATTTTCCCTGTCATACTGTTTAAATATGGCTAGTACTATAGTAAATGAAACAATGAATTCACATGACTGTGGTTCTTTTGGGTAAGGTTGATCGCTAGTTTGGCTCCTGAACCACAGAGGTCTGAGTATCTTCGTGCAAAAAGATCAGGTCTGCATAGGGTCAAACATGGCTAATCCCTATATTCTTTTCAGACACTAGTAAAAACGCAAAGCCTTGGACAACCAGTGACTAGGACACTGGACTAAAAATCAGGACTTCTGTGGTGAAATCCCAGCTCCATGGAAATCAGTGGAAGTTTTGCAACTGATTTCAATGGGGCACAATTTCCCCCGGGGATTCTATTCCTAGCTGTGCCACTGGTTTTCTGTGAGACTACATTGATGCTCTGTGCCTCAGTTTCCCCATCTGTCAAATTGAGGTAATAATGCATCTCTTCCTTTGTAAAACCCATCGAGAACTGTAGAAGAAAAATGTTAAACACCAAGGACCGAATATTATTGTTAAATCTGGATGGTTAAATTTTATTATATATTCAGTCCAAATTGTGTGTGTTTCAAAAAGACAACAATAAAGGAGACAAAAAATACAGAGTGTATCGTCTGACTATGGTTCCGATTTTCAAAGGCAAAAAGAGCAACTAAGCACCCAATGCACACTGCAAGCTAATTGCCTCTGGTGGCTCCCTTAAACAGCCAAAAAAAAAAAAATTGTCAATTTCTGAAATTTGAAAAAGTCAAGAAAAATGTCAGTGCAATTTCTACCTCTAGAATTTTGGCGTTTAAAATGTTCAGAAAAGGGGGGAAATTTGATTAAATGTTTGAGAGATTCTCCCCCCACCCTTTTTTTTTAAAAAGCCAGCTCTAGCAAAAAGGATAATATCAACCACAATGCTGTAAAGCAATATACCTGTCTTGTCTGCTATCTGGTCTCTAATAGCGATCAATGCCAAACATTTCAGAAGATATGTAACCCCCCAAACACCTCTCAATAAGCCAATCCTCTCCAGTGGGAACATTACTTCCAAAAAACAACAAAAAGACTAATTTACAGGGTGAAGAAGGAAGATCAAGGATTAGCGTAACTGCAGGTTCCTGACAGCGCTACCAGTCATGCCCACACGGAGCAGAAGCAGGAGCGAATGAATTCCTAGCTGTTTTAGGGCCCTGCTTGGACTCAGCCATAACTAATGCAGTTCCAAACCTGAACAACTAGAACAACTGGATTGGATTCTGGCATGGGGGACAATCCCCCTGGAGCGAGTCTGGAGCGAGGTGTTTTCTTTCTCATATAACTTAACATGGGTGTGGACAGAAGGAGCAAACATCTCTTCTCTCTCCAATGATGCAACAGACACAGAGATTGGCATTTTTGACATATCACGTTAATATGAAAACATTCTGTGGGGATCTCTCTAAAAACTTGCATGGGAAGAATCCATGGCTCTGTGCCCAAAAAGTAGAAGACAACTGGACTGCAATGCAAAGCTGCTTGAACATGCTGTGTGTTGGGTTGAGAAAAAGAGCTCAGTTGTCTTTGTCAATCCAGAGTAACGTCAGAGATTTCTGTAGGCTTCAGCCTTGCCAATTCTTGTGGTTTTTAACTGTGAGTCTTGAGAGCGGATGTTTTTCCTAAAGCCCCAGCTCCTGGTGTCATCTGACTCTGTGTCTGTGTGTGTTTCTCATATATATATATATATATATATATATATGGTTTTTGTACATTTCTAGCCTTTGTAATTGTAGAGTAAACCCTGAAAACATCACACACACACACACACACACACACACCCTAAATGCTCACAGTCCAGAAGATAAATAAAGGTTTATTCCCCACCTCAAATGAGCTGAGTGTTCCTTAGACTCGGCTAACAACCGGTGCCAGTTCTTCAACGACACTAGGACATCCTTGTCCTGAAGCCAGCAGATCCAGATCCTTGTGTGGAGCAATCCCAGCAAGTCCTAACTCACATCCACCCTGGCTGCCAGATCAGGGGGCATGGCTGGGGAAAATTACACTCAGTTACAGTGGTGAAGGAGGCCATGAAAGAAAGGTGTGGCCAGGCAATTTCTATGCCTCGATTCGCACCAGCTGCCCAAATGGCTCCTTGGAGCCACAAGCTGACAATACAACCCTCAGGCAGCTCTTAATTGTTCTGTGGTAGGTGTGGGCGCCCGGCTTGGCACAGTTGAGTCCATAGATTAGGGGATCATGAAGGATGATCCGTTCTGGCCTTAAATGCTATGGCATCTTGGCATGACTTCCCCCTCCTAAGAGCTGTCCAGATTCTTTTCATGTGTTGTTTAATATTGGGGATGGTTTCACTAGCATTAAAATATCTATTTGGATTCAGATGATGGAGTGTTTTGTTTACATGCCTGAGCAAGCTCTCCTTTTTTTATTATTATTTATTGTTCTGGCTGCAAAGATAATCTCTGCTAAATTCTTCCCTGTCAGGAGTTT